TAAATTCGAAATAGAGAGAGAGAGAGAGAGAGAGAGAGAGATAGATAGATAATTTATTTTTATTATTTCCAAAAATCAGCATTTGTTTTCAGAGATATTTATTACAATAAAATGTTATTTTATGAATTCTTAAAAAATTGGGAAAAAATGTAACTTATTAAACCAGTTATAATTGAGAAGCATACCATTGTTCATAACACTTAAATCCATAGCGTTGTTTCGTCTGCTGTATTTGACATTTGCTGCTAAATCCTTAACGTCATTCCTCATTCTTTCCAACATCATATCCAAATCTCCATTTCTTCCAGTCATTTTACCTGAAATGCTTGTCTTGTCTGAATTGGATATCATCTATAAGAAAAAGCAAGTGAAGTGATTATTGTATGCAACCACAAAATGTTTTATATTTAAGCTGTAATAATTATAAATAGTAATGTTTATAATAAGTTGAGTAATCACTTCCAATTTAACGTGGTTCTTGACATTAATAAGCTCTAAAATCCTTTCCTTAAAAATGAGTTTTTAAAGCTATTTCAATTATAAAAATTAAGAAATTTAAAAATACATAGAAAAATTTAACAATTCAAGTAAAAAGCAATGATGTATTTTCTATGCCATCTTATAAAAACTCGCTAGGTGATTTTTTTAATGCGTTTAAATAAATAAACTGCATTAATTTTTTTCATTGCTAATTGAACCAATGTATTTTTTTTCATTTATTTACCTTTGATTTTGAACAACAAATAGAAATTAAAATTTCATTTGTAGATATATTTTTAAAGCAGTTAATGATTTAGACAAGCTTTTCTTTTTTTTATCAAACCGAACTGTTAAATAACAGACAAATGAAAATTAAGAACACAGTTCCAGATAGTTTTGTTCTGACTCTTGATATTGATTTTTTAAAGCAGCTTATGATTTCCTCACTTCTTAACCTCTAGCATAGTTGTTGAATAACAGATTAAAAACAAATTAAAAATACAGTTTTAGACCATTTTTCTAAACACTGTAGAAATTTTGGATCAAATTCCGATGAAAATTTTGTTTTGATTTAAGGCTTTTTACCGTAAAATCTATTTTCTCTGGAACCTGTTACGGAACAAAAAATCTGATACACCGTAATTTTTACAGTAACGTTTACCGTAAAATCACTGAATCACTCTAATTAAATAAATATTACTATGAGAATTACGGTAAATTTTATAGTAAAAAAGATTTTACTGTAAAATGGACACTACGAATGATGGACCAAAAGTGCCGGGACTTTATATCGTAATTTGATAGCGATTTTTTTACAGTGAACCTAGTATTGACACTACAGGCACTATGGAATGTTCAGAATGCAGTACTGGATATTTTTTTATTTAATACTTAATTTGTCTCATTTGAAATTTAATTTCTTTTTTAACTAGTCACTTGTTTGTTTAGTCCTTTTAGTTTGTTTTTATACTAATTTTTCAAGGATTGAAATAAATTTTCAAATAAAGAAAAATCCTTATTAGACATACCGTCAGATCTATTTCTTGTCTTAGTTTCATAATTTTTGCTCTAACTTCTCTAACAGTTTGGGCCAATTTTGTGTCTAAAGTGTACATTATGAGGTTTGCGGATGACTCCAATTTGCTGTCCATCACTTCAGCTGATGAACGAATGTCTGTTCTGCTCATTGGATGTTTAAGATTAAACTCTGCTTTGTAATGACTGTCTCGGCTGTTTTTAGAAAGATCATTTGCTCTAAGTTCGAGCAACAAGTTGTGATGTCGTTCACGGGAATAATCGAGTTCGCTCTTGACATAGAATTCTCCTGGACCCATTGTTACGACGTTTGTCTGCACTATATCCTGAAAAAAAAAACACAATATTTAATGTGTTAATATTCGAATGAGTGATCTTATTAAATCATGAATCTTTAAATGGTTTAAGTATATATTAAAAGTCTAAATGGAATGCATTAAAGTTATGCAGCATATGGAGTTGATTGACATGCATTTGTAATAAGGCAATTATGATATCAGGAAATATATTTGTATAGTACGAAATTTTCAATTTTAAACTTTGAAACCTTCTAATATTCTAAATTTATTTCCGATTTGTCACTTTTTTAAAAAAATTATATAACTTAATTTTCATATTCTTTAATACTTTAATTATAAACAAAGTTTTCTTTTTTAACAATTAATCAATTTTTTTCATAAAACGAAAAGGCAACTATTTAAATGGTTACGGTTACGTAATTCAAAATGTTCATATTATTGTTAATTTGAACATTATGCGGTAGTATTGTTGATGCATATGTAAACCCAGAATACACTGATTGCAATGTAATATTGATGAACAAGATCTGCTTTAAATTCGAATATATCTACGGACCAATAAAAAGACTTGAAGATTACGAAAAGGTTGAAAAAATGGTTGCGTTACAATATATGCTGTTATTTAAGAAATTAATACTACTATGGTTTTTCCCAGAAAAAGTTAAAGTAATATGAGAAAATTTTTAGTCATTGAAAATGTCTAGTCTTAAAGATTTTGATTGAATTTGATGAAGAAAGCTTTTCGTCATAATACGTGATTTGACTTTTATGTACACTAATAATTCTAAGAAAGCCCATTCAAATTAAATTTTATACCTTATTAAGTTTAGGATGGTCCACAACAATTTGAACTCGGTGAGATGTTTGTTTGCTTGAACTGAGGTCGGTATGCATAAGTCCTACACCCATGTGTTTTTCTAATGAGCGAGCAGCATCCCAATAGAAGTCCACTCCTCCAGATTTTGCTCGAGAAGTTTGAGTGAAATTTCCTTTCAGCATGAGAGATCTTACAGGAGTATCCAGTCTGCTCCACAGTTCTTTTCCTGTATCTGTATCAGCCAATCTAAAGTCATACGAAATTCGTTTGTCAGATTTCTCATCCCAGCTGAATGCGGCATCATGCAGGAATTGCCTGTTGTCTCGTTGGTGAGATGTTCGGAAAGAAACTACCCTAGCCAAACGAGAGGATTTGAAAACAATTTCTTGGCCGTTGATGATTTGTTTTCTGTCAGCTGATATGGTCAGATCGAATGGCTTAATGTCTAGCACAAAATGTGAGGATTTGGCACCAAAAAGAATAACTTCCATTTTCATCTGCTTAGCTCTGTTGTAATCAACTTCTAAAGTGTCCTCAGTGTTGGTGTACTTCTTAACTCTACCGTATGATATTTTGACGTCTTGTAAATTGGTACGAGGAATGGACAGTTGAATGACACCTCTAACTCCATCTCTTTGGTATCGATGGTGCACTTTGAAGAAATCTTTGTAATCGTCTGTTACATACTGCGATAGGATAAGTACGCCTTGTGAATTAGTCTGGTGGCTGATGATTCCTTGAATATTACGATAACTGTAGTAAGGAGTTTCTGCTTGAAATTCAACTTTGAAATTGTAAAGACTTTCATACGCGATGGAAGTATTCAAGTTGTATCTTTGATTTCTGGGGCTGCTGTAAATGACCGATATCTGTTTCTGATTGTCCGAGCTTCCGTATGCACCCCCAAAGGTATACGAATCCGATCTTGGTGTCACAACAGTCAGGACAACATCTTTTTTAGAGTCCGAATGTTCCAATCGACCGGAAGCTGTCCACTTTGTGTTGTCCATTTCGATTTCCCCTCTTCCAGATATTCTTGATCTTCCAATACCATACTGACTGTATATTGAGAATTTATGTCTGGGTATAGAAAGTGTGAGCCTTGAATCTGAGCTTGAGTAATCTGGATTGTAGTGGACATTACCTAAGAGTTGAATATTTTGATAGTTTCGAATGGGAAGTTTGAGCATGACGGACATTTCTTCCGAACCTCTTGTACTTATGTACTTTGATGTGATTCCTAATGATGGCACAATTCTGTTTGAGCTTTCCATTTGAAAGCTACAGTCAATGTTTTCAAATCTATCATTCTGCAATCGTCCATCTAATCGAAACATTGTAAATCCTTCAAAAGGTGTGTTGATTGTAAGGAAACCTTCAATATTTTCCCACCTAAAACAAAATTTATGAAAATTTATAATAATTATAATAATTAAGTAAAAATTATTTTATAATTATTGGGAAAAATATATGCATATTTTTTCAAAACATATTTAATTAAATTGAATTAAATATATTGAATTTGCATGATAATTCACCAAACTGATTGTACAAGAGTACGATAAGCAAGTCAAAGTTATATAATGATCAAAAATTATTTCAATGGTGATATGTTAACGAAATAGTTAAATTTTCGATTTATAACTGATATCAATAATTAAAAAAATAACTATTAACAATTATGAACATTAAATCGCCTTTTAATGGTAACATTTTACAGCAATAAATTAATTAAATGCTTGTTGGGTTCTCTTTTTATATATAATAATGATTTTCTACGGTTGAAAATAATGTACGATTTAAAATGTCAACAAAAAAATAGTTTAAGTTACTTTTTAGTATTCGATTTATTAACATGGTTTTTCCATAAATAAATATCTTGATTTTAAAAAGTCTTTCCAGTGCATAAAACACTTTTGTGAAGACTTTTATGGAATAATACAAAAACTTTGACTAGGAGGGAGTAATACGTAATACCTTGAATAGTTAGAAGAAAACTTGTAATACATAGTAATAATAATAATAATATTAAGCATTACATCAATTATAAAAATAGATATGATATCGCAGTAATATTAAGAATAATAAAAAGTTTTAAAACAGAATTGACACACATTTTACGAAATATATATAATAAAAGGGAAAAAAATTGATTAAACTAACTGTTATTGTATTATAGGTACTTCATTTATATGATCTAACTACATGAAGGAATACCGGAAACCGTATAGTTTTTTAATAATAAAATAGCCTAAGAAACTGACTGATAATTCATATAACATACCCGATTCTTTTCATATTTCCTGCTATCCTGACTTCTTTATTCAGAGTAGAGACAGATAGGCTTACATCAGACGAATCCCCTTGCTTTAAAGTTCCAGTAATAATTAAAGAATTCAGGAAATCAGCAGCTGGGCAATCTGCTTTCACTTGAATGTATTTCTCTTCCTCATAGTTTCTCAAATTGGCCACAAACACGTGATCCACGTCGTAGACTGAGATCGTCAATCGCCCCTCAACGTCTCTGCCATTATTGTTAATGTATTTAGCTTCGCTTTCCATTGTGAAAATGTCACTGTTAACTTTAAAACTGGCTGTTAATTGGTTTCCTTTGTTTTCATATTTAGAAGAGAGCGTGTGAGAGCCGCTTGGCAATGTCAAACTGACTGAAGCATCTATATTTCTGTCATTACGACGTCTGTTGAGCAGTCCTTTCAACTGAGCTTTTCCTTCTGGTAGAAGGTAGCTATCTGCCTCAACTAATACTTCATAAGTTCTACTCGATTTGAATTGTCCAGATAGATAATGGGCTTTTCCTAATGCATCTATTGAAAGTTCACCTGAAATTTTAGATGCATCGTCATCATTAAATTTGATTGAAAGAAGAGCAGTTTTTGATGGTAAGAAGGAGGATTCAGCTTTTGCTTCGAAATTTAGCAATCCATTTTCTTTCATGGAGGTGATGACTATTTCATGAACAGAATTTAAAGATTTCCCTGAAAGTGCAATTTGCATGTTGCTTAAATCATTGAAATTAATCTCCGCAGACGATTCAATATTTTTGAATGACATGAAAGGTGCTTCAATATTCAATGAAGCCAACAATGGTTTGAACTGGCTGTTTGTCATCTTACCTTCCACTTTAAGAGTAACAGGTGTGTCAACTTTCAAGACTGCAAAATAGCCAGAATCATCATTTTTGTATTCGGCATATACATCCAGATTTCGAAGTATTTTAAATGGAGTCACCACAATCAAACGACCATCCATGAATTGGTTTTTATCACTTCTCAGAGAACTATCAAAACTAAGTGTTCTATAACCTTCGAAGGGAGTATTGAGTTTCATTTTAGCTTCATAAAATTGGCCAAGTCTCTTGTTCAGAAGAAGTTGAACATCTGCTTCCTTTTCTTCCCATTTCAGAGTTGAAAGGAATTGGTACAAATCGGGATTTGAATCGATGGTTGCAATCCATTGTACATTTTTGAAAGGTGAATGTGGAGAATTAAAGTTTAATTGAATTTTAGCTGAGTGCTCACCGCCATATTTTGCATCGACTTTACCGAAATAAGCTTGTTCACCGTTTGTTTCAACTTTAACTTCAGCTACAGCACTATCTCTTTTGTTTTCGTATCTGCTGTTGAATGTTACTGTTTCGTAATTTTTGATTGGGCTTTCAACTGTCAGAACTAAATAGCCGTCTTCTCGAGCAAAGCGCATGTTGCATTTAGCTCCAACTTTTTGATTATTACCCCAAGCGAAATTGAGTTCAGATCTTGCCTTATTGTCAGCGTAACTTCCAGAAACCATAGCATTAACATTCTCATAATTTTCAAAAGGTGTTTTTACTGTCATCCTGCCGCTTATAGATTTTCCCTGAAGTTCGTATTGTAGCATTGTTTCATAGTTGTTATTACGACCCAGCTGAAGTGCTAATTCTGCCTTTTTGCCTTTGCTTAGAGAATAGTATTTTGCTGAAGCACTGATATCTTTAACAGGCTCGTAGGGTGAGTCTAATTCAAAGCTAAGCTCAGCAGACGTTGTTCTAAAAATTGTTTTTCCTTTTAAAACAACTTTCCTCCAACCCCTCTCATATAAAACATTTAAGTTCCTTTCAACGTTATTAAAACTGTATTCTTTGGTGAAGGAAATCTTTTCATAATCAGCAAAAGGTGTTGTTAGAGTCATTGTCGAACTTATCAATCTGTAAGAATTCAAGAAATTGCCGTTAAAAACTATTGATTTTCTATTGTTGTTACCCCATTGCACTGATGCTTCGATTTCTTTTTGTGGAGCAGTGAAATCGTATTTTACTGCTGTAGAGTAAAATTCAAAGCCTTTAAAAGAACTTAAAAATTCGACTTGGGCATTAACACTTTCCCAACGGAAGTTATTCAGATTACCACTCAAAGTCATTTTGTTTCGTCTGTCCCAGACAGCAGAAAACACTCCTTTGTGATCCCATTCTTGTTTTTCATAGGTCGATTTCAATTCCAGATCTCGGAGTTTTCTGAATGGAGTCGTGAATTTTATTACAATCTCTTTCAGGAATGTCTTATCGATGTATTGAGCATTTAGTTGAATCTTTTTATCATTATCCCATAAAATAAAGCTATTATGTTCTAATTGTCGTCCGTTGCTGGCGTGTACTACTGAAAACTTTCCGTTTAAGCCAGTTATGGAAGAAGTTGCTTCTAGGGCTGAGTCGAAATTCCAGATGTCCCTCAAGACTAGTTTATGAGACAGTGAGCCGCTGAGGCTATTTTTGTTCATTTGAAGTTTGGTGAAATATTCTTGGCCTCTTTGGTTATGTGTAAAATCTGCTTTCATTTCTTCGAAATTTACAAAAGGCGTGTTTAAAGTGGCTGAAAATTCCATATTTCTTGAATTATAGTTTGCTTCTGACAGACCTATTAGAAGAACAGTCAGTCTGTCGTTATTGATAGAAGTGTCAAGTGTGCTTCTTAATTTTGAATTTTGAAGTTTATGAACTAGATCAAAAGAAATGCGCTGATTATTCATTATTTTAGGGAACTGGCCAATGGCTACTGCATTGATTTCTAAATCATTCAAACTTGTCATTTTTCCTTGGGAATTGAAAGAAGCAGTTGATCGATGGGGTAATTGACCATCAATATTGAATTTATAGGAATTTCTGTTCGTGTCTAAAGAAGATGTTATTTGAACATTTTCGTAGTTGCGGAATGGGCTTGTGAGGAGGAACTTCCCTTCTATGTTTTTCTCATATCTTTGATTTCTTAGGGTCACACTTAAAGATGTGGAAACTTTGTTTTTATTCCAGCTAGTTTCTGTATCAGTATTGACGGTTACACCATCGTTGCTGTATGTTATTTTCATAGCAGTATTCTCATATCCTCTAACTGGTGTAGAACATTCCATGTTTACAGTACAAATACGTCTACGACCGTTCAACTCGTGACTTCCATCAAAATTAATGCTGACTTTTTTTGTCGGGGCCCATTTAAACTCAGCTTTTGTGCGATAGTTGTTACTAGTATAGATGTTGGTTACTTCTGCAGACATTTCCTTAAAATTAGAAAATGGAGAACTCAATAAAGCTGTTCCTTTAAACATTGAGGATTGTTTGGCTCCAGTAAGTTGTAACTGAATTCTCTTGTCAGTGCTCCATTTCACTTCGGCTTTGTTTTTCAGTTCATTCATGTTTTGGTTGTGCGAAACAGTGACGTACATTTCTTCGTAGCCAGAATAAGATGTTTGGATTTTACCCAGTGCCTCAACTGTAGATATTCCTCTAGTAAACGTATATTTTCCAGATGATGATAATGAGAGGTCATTTCCATATGGGACCAATGTCGCAATTTCACTGTCCCACTGTTGATTTGCATATAAATGAGTTACGCTAAGTGTCAGATTTTCATATCCATTGAATGGAGTAATTAGTTCCATATGGTTATTTATTTGTTGCCTAGATCTATCTAGCAAAACATTTGTGGAAAGTGTAACAGCGATTTTATCTCTTGTTGACCATTCTACAGAGAACTTATTGTTCGATTTCCATTTTGAGCTGAATAAAGTGCCTTGTAGGCCAGTATTGAAAAATCCCTTAATTGATCTACGAAGTACTTGCATGTTAAATTTGCCTTCATAACCTTCGTTTTGGTCACGGAGTTCGCCATTAAATACAAAACGTTTAGATGTGTCTCTATCAGCGTCCCAATAGGTTTCGAAAGAACCAAACTTCAATGAATCTGCAATTTTCCCTTCAAGCTTAGCGTAAACCCTGTGGCGATTAGGCATTTTAAGTTCAATATTTCCATTAAGTTTACTTTTTAAGTGACTAACGGTAGCATCAAGAGTGTAAATTTCATTTTTAACAATCACTTGACTCGCTAAGCGTTGATTCAAACCATTTCCAACAAACAAATCAGATTTCAAACTATATTTATTGGTGCCAATATTAGCTTCTAAGAATCCATTAAATTTATTTTGTTCTTGTCCAATTACCGAAGAATACGTGATTTGAGGGTAGTTAGGAAGATTGAGATTACCACTGACTTCATGTTTAAAACGTCCTTTAGAGCTCTTGTTTTTGTATTGAACAACTGCTCCAACTTGCTTTCCTTCTTGCCATTGGCAGAAAAGTGTTCCCCTGTATTCGTTTGAGCTAGATTCTGTAAGTTCAGCCTGGAGAGCAGTTTCACGTCCTGGATATTTCATTTTAATTTCCCCAGCTAGATTCAATGGTCCATCCAAGTTCTTCTTCAAGTTAATTTCTGTTTTAATTGCTTTCTTCGTGTCGTATTGTAATTGCAGGCTGTTCTTTAAGGCGTTTGCAGAATTCTCATGGTTCATGCTAATTCCGTAATTAATTCTTTTTTCTGGGTATGAAAGGCTTAAAGAAGCATCGACCTTATTATTGCTGAGATCGCCTTCATATCTGAGAATCTCTTGCATTTTGATTGTATGGATTCGACTACGTGCTCCATCGCCCAAAGACAAGGTAAGGCTGTTTTCAATATGACTCGTAGTTTTCATACTTTCAAACTGAAGTTCTGTGTTCCATTCCGGTAAAACCGAAGCTTGGATGTTCAACTGACCCTGATACTTCATCAGGGCATTGGCTGACAGGTTCCTCATTTTACCCACAATGCTTAATTTATTCATTTTGCTTTCCATTATTCTGTAATCAGCTGTAATTCTTGATGACATGCTATTTCCAAGTTGAGCGTATCCTTTTACTGTTCCATCTAATGCGAAGCTGCTGAGACTGACTTCCAAATCGTATCTGTCTTTTTTGCCCAATTCCACGTTAGCTAAAAGAGAAAAAAAATCATTTTTTCGATATCAGTTCTGAAATTATAGTTTTGATAGTAAATAAGAGATTTTTGGAATAATTTGTTGAGTGATGTTTCGAAAACATTTAAATTTCCAAAATGTGTTCAGGTGAAAGCATAAAATAAATTTTGCGATACGTCTTTACACTGTTAAAATTTTCGAAGTATGTTTAAATAAAACAATGCTTTAACATGTTGTAATATTAAGTAGTTTCTAACAAGGAAAGGTTCCTAGGCTAGACTCCTCATCCGATAAAATCCGATGAAAATTGTAAAGGTATTAGAAGAACCGGTGGAAAATCTATCACTTGAAAATCAGCTACTAAATTACAAAAACTAACATTTTTAACGCCAAATGAATCCTTGCTTGGCGATAATCCAACTTTCACTTTCCGAAATCTAGTAATTCATGTTTTCATTGTGAGTTTTTTAGATTCTTGGAGAGTAATGTGCATTCGAAATTATTTAAATTCTGATTTAATCATACATTTTGCATTTCATAGTTCATTTTATGTTATTATTCACAAGAAGTTTAATGAATTAACTAGAGGGTAAATTTTTTTTCTATCAAACTGAAAAGATGTTTTTACGTGTTTAAATTTAATCATGAATTCTTACCATTTCTAAATTAAAAAACAATAACAAGGTGCTATTTCTTATATACATGATGAAACATATTATTGGAAGATAACTTATATTTTTTAAGACTTGATTTTGTTTAAAAAAAAAACTTTTTTATTGTTAGTGACTTTAAAGTAATAATGTCATAACAGTTAAATATTTTTAATAGGATATGGAATTTGTATAGCGAGTTTTCCATTCAGTATTTGTGATTTTAAAAAAATAAAGCATAGTTTTGATAATTGTAATGATTTTGATTACCATAACCGATTTTCAATATTACTTAACATTCTTCTAATGCATTTTAGCAGCTAATTTTTTTTAATATGGTTTGTCCGTAAGTTCTTCGAACACCTACAAATATTTCATTAAACATATCTGTCAAGCTCTTTGAAAAAGTAAACAATGATTATCTATTACTGTTTTACCTACCTTTGGCTAGTATTGGTTTTGCTGTCAAATCTTCAACTTGAATCTGAGCTGTATATTTCTGTCCATATTTAAATTGCATGTTTCCTGTTACAGAAACCAGTTTCTGAGATGGAATTTTCATTTCAAAGAAAGGTGTATAGCTCACACCATTCTTTTCTTCTGCGATTCGAAGATCCGATTGTAGAGAGAAGTATTCCTTATCATCCATCGCTACACTGAAGTCCAATTTTTTCTGGAAGTTTTCATTTACTAGTTTACCTGTAAAATTTAAGTAGATAATATGAATGATCTTTAAAAGAAACAATTCAAATCTATTTAAAAATATAAAAACTAAACTGTTTAAAAATATTTAATAAAATCACATTTCTTTTTCCTATAAGTAGTAATATTTGTAAATAATAATTTTTTTAGCAGAAAATAATATGATTCACAAAATAGTTTTATTCTTCAATTTTTAGAAATGCTGCTTAAATGGAAGTACAAAAACAAATTTAAATGTTCTTATAACCATTGTTTAAAAAAATTATGCTATTTATATCTCCTAATTGCACAATAAACTAATTATTAAATTACTGTTATTGATAAAAATGCAATTCAAAATAAAATTGCGACTTCCTTGATTATAACTATCAGCTAATTTTAATAATCCCATTGTTTAAAATTAATTTTCGTTACTTATAGGATTTAACTTAACATTTAAGCCTTCTTTTCATTCGAAATTGTCAAATTTTAATTAAAATTGTGAAATGATAAAACGGCAAATCAAAATAGATTTGCTTCTACGTTAATTATATAAAGCAGTAACTAATTTTAGCGAATGCCTGCTGCTTCAAATTTACTCTGATCGCATTTAAATTTTAACTTACCATTCAAACCTATTTTTTTCATTGGTGATTGCAACTTTAAGGAAGCTGTATAGTCTTCTTGATTGAGATTCATCTCCATTTTAACAGCTCTATCAATTCTAGAATTGGGAGTATTGAATGATAAAACTCCATGTTTAATGAAAGCTCCATTCTTCTGTAAAACACAATAAAACACAAATATTCTTAGACTATTTCTATAAACATTTTGTGAATAATAAAAGGTAATCCAAAAACGGCAATTGTATTAAAAAAATAATTAGAATTAAACAGAAGTAGGTAGAGATATCATGATCGTTGTATTTATTCTCAAAATTTCAAAATTAATTTCGTCAACTTTTGTTACTATTAACTTAAGAAAAAAACAATGAAACAATGTTTTTTGCTACATCGTTAAAAGTTAAACAACATATAAAGGTGTCTGTTAGTCTGGCCAAGTTATTTTCAAAAATGGTGATTATTTTGAGAACATTGAATTTTTTTCCCAGTTATAAGCGCCATCTTCCGAGGAACTTTATAACTATTTTTTTAAATTTTAATAAGAATAGCTGGTTTCTTAAGCAGAACATAGCAAACCGTGTCTCTGTCTCTATACATTTCCTTAAACGGACATTTTAAATCACCGATTTTTTTTTAAATAACCGGTAGATTCTTAGTAACAGTTTTAAAAAAAATTGTTCAAATATTAGAAACGAATAAAAAACTTCTAAAATTACATCGATTGTATCTCAAAATGTTAACAAAACTCATAAAAATGATTTTACCAGTTCAGTTTTCCATGAAGCATCAAAATTATAACTTTTCAGAGTGGGATCTGTTTTCTCTATAAAGAGATTGAAACGAGCCGGTCCGTTGAGTGGATGTAAAGGTGTATTCGCCCGATAGGGTGGTATTTCAATTTCAGAACAGAACTTGACTCCAAAAATTTCGCTGAATCTTTTTCCAGTACAACTTTCTATCTGGGTTCCAGATTTTTTTTCAGCTGTCTTCTCCCTTTCTTCCATGCCATGCACTAAGTAAACTTTACTCCTAAAGAATACAAAAATATTTATTCTCAAATATTTTTCTTGAAAATATGTAAAATAAATATTTTAGAAAATATCAAAATAGTACATAAAAAAAAACTAGTTAGTAGTGTAAACTATCAGTTAAGTGCTAATGATATTTTAATGAATAGCTATTTTTACGAATTAAAATTTTTTTTAGAATAATTTCAATTGTTATAACACTGCATTGATTTATAATGTTCATTTCTACAGCAATTACCTTCATTACATGCTTCCTTAAATTATCTGGGACTTAGAAAATCAATAGAAAAATTTAATGAGTTAAAAATATATGGTTTTTTGGTATTTTTTTTCGGATACCAGGTAAACTTATTTTCACCAAGATTTCAAATTAGATAAAAATATATCCTTCAACAGGTAGTGTTGTTAACTGAAGGAAACTATTTAATAGTGTTTTCTGCTATAGGTAAGACAATACCCCTGAAATATTTATATGGGATTCTTTTAATTTTTATTTAGACTGCGTCACGTTGTTGCTGTATATAGTGGTTATTTTAGAAACATTCTTTCACAGTGTTTCTGAGTAAGCAGGTCCCTCTGTTGATGAACTAGAAAATTAATATCGAAACATAGTGACAATAAATACCTAAGCAGAATGTAACAAAACCTACACTTCTATTTTCTATAATTTTTTAAAATTGGTTTTTTAAATTGGCATTTTTATAATTAAGTTTCTCATTTTTGAGAAACCTTCTTATAAAAATTTTAATCATTTAATTTTCAATTCTAATTTTTTCAATTTTGATTATCTTTTTTATTAATAACATTGACATCAAGTTTGATGTGATAACTTTACGATAACAACTTTTTTTATTTATATAACAGAAAAATGTTACATTTTGAAAAATGTATCAAAGTTTCAAATGATCAAATTATAATATTATAAATAATTTTAATATTACCTGAAACTAAAAAAAAAAAAATATTAAAATTTTTTGTGGTTTACTTACTCTATGTTGAAGACGTCTATTCTCTCTCTTGGCATGTTGAGCTGAACTTTCACTACTTCTCCATTCTTCACTTCAACTTTACCATCGAGAACACTGGATGAGTGCATTGAGCTTACCACACGCAATCCAGATCGAGCAATATTTCCAGCATCGATTGTCAACAAGCTAGCAATTTCAACGGCACCGCTGCAAAAGTAAAGAGCGAATTACATATGGATTTAATTTACGTAATTAAGAAAAAAATATTGTGATAGAAATTTATTGATAAAGTTTCATAAAACTTATTATTGTTGTTTAAAAACAATTTAGCTTCACATAATTTTTTTAAATCATAATTGGGCAAAGCTAGAATTTTCTCCTTTTGAAACATTATATGAGAAGCATACAGGCGGCATTTTTATGGAAAAAAATCTTAATATTATTCTATAATGAAATGTAGTTCGATTTCTTAATTTTGGGTAAAAATTTCAAAGGTTTCAAAAGAGTTTATTTCTAATACTGTAAAATTCAACGTAATTTTTTTTTAAATTTATTTTTCTTTTCTAAAAAGAAAATGAGTGATTTGCTATACCTTATTATTGATATCATAAGTTAAAGGTATATCCAAGTGTTCAAGTTGAGTAGTATAGAAACAGAATATAAAATAAAGAGTATAGAAAAAAGCATAACATAAAATAGCATTGTATAGAGTAGAATATTATTTAACCTAGTATAAAAATAGAGCAATATAGAGGAAGAATATAAAATTGACTGTTAAAGTAATAGCATAATATAGAAACAGGATATAAATAAGAGCATTCTTACCTGGGTTCAAAGTGACCGAGAACATCAACGTGTTTAAAAGATTTAACATCGAATTTTCCTCCAACTTTAAGGCCAACGCTTGCTGTTCCATTGACTGCAATCTTCAAGGGCATTCCACTGGTCATGGGAATGGTAAAGGTGGTATCTAAGAACATGAAACTTCGAGAATATTCTTTTTCGTGCTCCTCAGCCAAGTTCGAAACAATATCAAGCAGATTGATTTCAGTTCTTGCTTCGTCATCGTGTCTGTATTGGTTGTACCACATCGAAGTGCCAAAAACTTTTATATCTAATGAGCCATATGGTTGTTGAGCTGGACGAGCATTTTCGTTATACTATGGAATACAGTTTTTTTTTAATTACTTTTATTTCTTTTTTTTGTTGCCTGAGAATTGCTATCAATGGAAAATGAAGTACTACTTACCTTACTCTCAATTTGGTTGAGTTTGTTTTGATTTAGTGATCGCTTCTCTCTAAGAATCTTGGCAACATGTTTCTGGGGGAAATATCCACTTGGACCAAAGAAACTTTCCACTACATGTTCTAAACCCTCTAAACGTCCATCAAGCTTAAAGTAAAAGAAATAAAATTTTTAGATAAAAAACTTTTAAAAGAAAAATTTTTATTTTCAGAATCGAAATTACTTCTCAAAAGTAGGCACATAGAATATGTTGTAAAGTAAAATTATACCCACCCATAGTTTTTATTTTTCATGACTAGCTATAAATTACGGCTGTAAATGCTCGTTAAAATATTAATAAATTAAATATTTCTTTATGTAAAAAGATATTGGTAGAATTATTTTTATTTTAATAGCTTTTTATTTACCAGAAAATGCTTTAGTAGGGGTTGCCAATTACATGAAACCACATCTTAAGATCTTTAAATGTTAAGTATGGAACTGAAAAGGGTGGCAGAGTAACCTATAGCCAAGCAGTAATCGAAATGGAATATGGTCCCAAGAAAGGTTTCGGCCAATCAACGGCTGTCGATTCGATGCAAGAGATTTTTCTGTTTCATTTTTAAAAACAGTATAACAAAATTCTTATTATTCACTTTAAATAAATTAAAAATATTTTAACAGATGAACGCACTACACTTCTTTTGGAAATAAATAAAAAAATGCAGATTTTTATGTAGCAAATATTATAGATATTAATATTTTCTGCTACAAGAAAAATATCATATGCGAATTGCTTAAGCTTTACAATCGAGTATGGGTCTTACAAAAACATTTTATCGTTTATCTTGTACTGGTAGGATCATAATGGAGGACGCGCTTCATAAATACTAAATTCGAAAGGAAAAAAAAACTATTTTTTAGCTTTGTTGAATATGGCATCTTGAAAATATAACTAGAGATATTTACATCCATTTTAGAAGGGTTATATAAAGCAATAGACTTACTTCCAAAAGGTTGCAGGTTTTTCCGAAAACATCGACTGTGAGATTAAACATTGCTGACCGAGGTAAATATGAGTCTGTTGAGTAGATTAAGTGACTGTCCAAATGAAGCCCCGAGTCAATAGATTCCAAAAAGTATGTTGCTTCATGAGCAGTGGAAAATTTCCTTGAATCCGATTCAAATTTATTCATCAGGTATAAATTGGAGATGATTTGGCGGATATCCTGTCTTTCTGGGTGTTTGCTTTTAGCCAAGGCATTCAAATGAGTCCAGATAAAGGACCCAACTGTAAAGGAACAAGTAAAATATTGCTTATTTCTTTATGCTTAAATACTCTTTAATTGTCTAAAAATAATTTTGTCTTATTTTTCTTACCATGATTGATCTTTTCATTCATTAAAACACCTTTAATATCATCAATAACGCTTGTAGATGGACACCTCATCACAGCAAGATATGCAGCAATTCTAATTTCGGTATCTTCATTGTAGTTGCTGTAAGTTTTCAATAAATCCTCCCTCTATCAAAATAAAATAATGACTCTGTTAAAATTTATTTTGTCTTATGTTGCTACAAACTACAGATTATTAAAAATAGTATCTTTTTGCGTAAAGATCGTTTAACCTGATTTGTTTCAAATTAATTTTTTTAATTATTCTGTAAGAAATGCAAGACCAAATTACGGTAAAAAATACCGCCACTCCGGATGCTGATGCTTTTTACTGTAAATTCCATTTCTATTGGAACGTGTTACGGAACAAAAAATAAGATATACCGCAATTTTTGCAGTAATAAATTCCGTAAAATTATATCACTAAATCACTAATTTAATAAATATTACTGTAAAAATAACAGTATAATATATTACGGTTAAAATGGATTTTAAGGTAAAATGATTTTTTTTGATAGTGCACCCAAAGTGCCGATACTTCATAATGTACTTTGATCAGTAATTTGTTACATCGTACTTGTTTTTACTATTTAGAAATTATTTGCTTTTTACTAATTGGATAACTTTGAAACACACGAAATGATAGAACTAATTAATATTTTGCAATTTGTTACTCTAGGTAAAGAAGGAGAACAGTATGATCGACTTTTCTTTCAAAACTAAATTAAATTTCAAATTATTTCCAACTGAAATAAAAGGAAAGTATTTACGTCATTGCTTATATTTTTAAAGCATAAAGAGATTACTCCTTCAAAATTGACTTACGTTTACTTCACAATTAACTCTTCGGAAAGCTTCAATGGCAGCAAGTCGAGTTTCAGTTCTGATTTGAGGATTTTTGTAGCAAGCCTGCAATATATTCTCTCTTCCAAATAGATGTCCGATATTGCCAATGGCTTTCAACGACAAAATAATCTGCAAAACAGAAATTAATATTTAAATAAGAAAAATACGTTTAAAAAATTCTTCCTGAAATTACAATAACATTTTGATATCTCTTTAAATTACAGAAGTCTAATCTTAAAAAATTTACCTTTAAAGATCATGTATTTTTTTAAATATATACGACTTCTAAGTTTATTTTAAATTGATGTTTTATTTAAATTCTTTAGTTTAAAAAATTTCTTACTGTTTTTTCGTCACCACTGAAGCAGTTTTCTCCTAGATTTTCAACCAGTTTGTTAACAGCTGCTCTGACTTGAGGGATGGTAGAACAATCTTTAGAAGAACAGAAGTTGTGGATGAAAGACGAAACTCCTAGTAGAGCTTGATCAAATTTACCATCCAAAAGAGGCTAGAAAAAAATTTATTTTTAATAATAAAAAAAAATTATTTCTTACGCACCATAAAAACTGCGTGAAATTAGTTTTATAAACAAGTAAACAAGTGCTGTTGATAGTATAAAAAGTTTGAGTTACACTGCATTTTACTTTCTAATGGTTTATTTTAGTTTTATTTCTCATATTTGTCATGCACGATTATCCTTTTTTGGTGATATAGATACAAATTAAATCTTTCTGAATGATTAGATCAATTTGAATATAACTTTTGTAAATAGCAATAGTTGATTATATTGTCAATAAAAAAATCTAAAACTTATTTCGCATTATTTTTTATTTCTTTTAATATTCAAAGAATGTTTAAAAGAAAGCTTTTAAAATGTTACAAAATTTGACTTAATTTCAATAAATTTGACAAAATTAGACAAATGGTAACATAAATTATGCATGAGATTGTTATCTCGACAATGGCAAATAGATCTTTTTGTATTCAAAGACAGACTTTAATTCATGGCATTCCTAAAAATTCTCATATAAAGTCAACTATATGGCGTTTAGTTCACAGTTTTGCTTACAGTACTCGTACGTTGAAAGTATTAATTATTTGCTAATAAACAACTCAACTAAAGCATGCATTATAATTCTCCTGAATAATACTTTAGAATCGAAAATTTTTGACAATGAGTTCTCTAATTATTAACTATTCAATTAAAATATCAATGCTATTCTTCAGTTATAAACAATTCAATTATGCAAGCAACTCAAACACACATAATATAATAACATTAGTGGAATACTTTTTTTGCTATGCAATTTATGTATATTGGGAACTTATTTGAGAAGTTGCAAATTTTGTGCTTTCAAACTATAGATGGATATATAAATCATTTATGGGAATATTATTTGCCATTGCTAAGTGTAAGAAATGTAATCAGAAGTGAAGGATTATTGTTAAATTTAAAGAGTGTGTAGAATTTCACATAACCATATATGAAAAAGCAAAAAAAGAAGGAAAATTACCGTATATGTAGCAATTATTTCTGGAGTCGCATCATTCAGGAAAGACAGAGACGTGAGCCAAACTTTGCTTTCAGATTCAGAGACTTGCTTACTTGAAATCATTTCATAAATAAAATGTGCCGAATCAACAGAGTTAACTAGAGGGATGGCATCCATGAAGAATTTTCTAAAAATAAACATTCAATGAAGCAGAATATTAAAAAAAATAACTAAAAAAATCCTCTTTTTATTTATTTCAGTTAAATAAAACCGAATTTGACAAATTATTAAATATGATTAAATTTTCATTTTCCTGAAAAATGGCCCTTTGTTATTTTGGGAAACATGCCGTTTTAAGACATTATAGTATTATATCCAATTATTACTTAAATTCTCGCCTATAATATTCTAATCAGCATTGTTGTGCAGCGATGGTTCAGGGAATAAAGCGTTCGCCTTCCAATGAAGTAAACCGGGTTCGAATCTCAGCGATGGCTGGTCGATACAAATCCGCATCCGGCTTGTACTGACCACAGTGCTGACGTAAAGAAACTTCAGTGGTAGGCGGATCATGGCCTTTCAACTTTGATTAAAAAAAGAGTGTCTAGTCACACTGTAGAAAATTCCGGATCAAATTACGGTTAAAAGAACAAGTTAACTGAGACCAGAATCTGTAAAATTCGTTTAACGGTAAGATTTTATATCGCAACTCTTAGTAATTTTAGATGAGTAATTTTAGAGTAAATCTTGCTGTAAGGTATATCAAATTTTACGCTGCGCAAAATTATGCTGTAAAAAGTACTGGTACCCTGACCACCAATCCAATTTTCTACAAAATTTTGTACCTCAATTTTTACAGCTATATTTATTTAACTACAGAGATTCAGTAATTTTACAGTAAATATTATTGTAAAAATTAATGTATATCAAATTTTCGTTCCTTGAAATTTTACGGTAAAAATGGATTTTGCGGTAAGAGTATCGCTCTCCAGAGTGTCTGTACTTTTTACCACAATTTAATCTGGATTTTTTTTACAGTGTACAGTAAATTTGCTATGCTTTAAAAGATGAAACCCCTTACAGCGCCAAATATACTTTTTTTAGATTAGTTACCTTGCTTTACTGTTATCTGGGCAAATCTTTTCAGTTTTCTGGTGAAGTGCCTTTAAAGCTGAAAGGGATAACTTTTTAAGTTTGTAGACAAAAGCTGAAAATTTCCTGGGTACTGAAATTGTGATATCTTCTTTGGATGCATCACAAAGTTCCTTTAAGGCTGTTTCGCTGTCTTGGTTGACTTTTGCAGCGTCGATAACTGGTTGCTTGTGTTGGTAAAGCAGAGGTTCTGTTGTTGGGCGGTAATCTAAATAATAAAAGTAAAAATTCTGTTTTAAATCTCAAATACATAAGCATGCGTGCAAAAGAATTTTTATTAAACATATTTTTCATACTTCTTTCATTTTAATAGTTTAGCATTTTAAGTTAAGTTTACAAACAGTCCTTGAAAAGTTATCTTTCTTACTTAAGTTTTAACTTTTAAAATGGTAAAACTACAAGCCATATATTTCAAAAAAGCCATGTACTTAAAATTCCAAGCCATATATTTCAAATCATCAGTTATAAAGCTAGAAATAATTAAAGAAATTGTATTTCCTATTTTGCACCCATGCTTTGTTTCCAATTTACATTAACAAAACATCGTCGGCAGACAAATTAGATAAGAGCCAGCTAGTTAGCTAAAAGCTAACTAGTTAGTTAAAGGCCTTAAGTAATTGCTTAGCTAATTTCCTTTCTATACAACTTGATACAGATATTTAAATTTATTTTCTTAAAAATATATTTTATCGTCTGAAAGAAATTAGTCCCAAAAAAATCACTTTAATTTGAAAAAAAAGCAAGCGATTATTATAAAAACTGCATATAAAATTACACTTCTTTAACTCGTATTATTTATTTATTTACTATTTTCAGCATATATTTTAGTAAATATTTATGGAATTTTAAAAATATTTATTTTATTGTCTGAAATAAATAATTTCCATCATTATTTATTTTTTATCTGAAAAAAGCAAACGATTCTTCTGAAACCTGTATTTTGACTTCCACTTTTATAACTCTTTACTTTTAGAATTATGTTCCATTATGGTGAGTGCATTGAAAGGTTTTGTAAACCTTATTTTTATTTTAAATATTCAAAATAAAATAAAAATATTCAAAATAAACCATTTATAATCTGACAATTCAGGTTTCTTAATTCGTCTGAGGTAATTTAATATTACTTTATTATGCTAAATGCTTAGTTAATCTATGAAAAATATTCTTTTTTTAAAAAATATAACGTGAATATTTTTTTAATATTTATCCGCATTATTATTATAATTATGTATACTTTTATGCAAAAAAAATGAATTCATAGTGATACATAAAATTGTTAAATGAAAAGAATTCAATTTTTAAATATGAAAATTTTATGGAAAACTTTGCTTTTTTACAGTACACTTTTTAATTTTTTTTTATTTAGAAGAGGTCTAACTATTTTACTGTCTAATTTTTTTCTGATAAAAAAGTGTTAATTAATGTTCAACCTTTCGGCTATTCACTGACTAACAAAGAATGCTTGGACTTCTAAGGAGAAATGTTCCAATCTTAGGAATAATGTTTTATTTAAGGAGCAGAATCTGACCACGTATAACATTAAAAGAAGTTCTTAGTCTAATGTATTATAGATATAATATAATAAATTAACGAAGTTTTTAAAATGAATACAAAAGAGCAAATGTTAGAAATATAATATAATTTTTTCCAAACTTTTTTTTTTAAATTCACGTATATTTTTTAAACCAACTTTAAGAACTTTTATTTTTACTTTACACAAAAAAGCGTATATTTATATCAACTTGGAGAAATTTTACAAAATTAAATTATTTGATTTACTAGATATCCTATTAGTCGACTTCAAAATTACAGCATCTGGTTATTTGCGTGTAAAACATTTTTTAAAGTGTTGCGAGTATATTCATTGTCACATTCAAATTTATAACTGACAAGAATGCTCTAGCTCTTCCAAATTTTTAACCTTATATGTATTTTTGAACTTTTTTTCTTCAAAATATAATTATATAAACTTTTTAATATGCATGTTGTTCTGCAATCTCGGCTTTAATAAATATTTTTAGAATCCCTGCCAAAAACTACGCATGTTAGTGGTCGCCAATTAATATTTCAGAGAGGAAGTAACAGAAGCAATATATCAATTAACTATAAAAACTGAAAACTTCTGAGGAAGGCAGCTCTGAAATATAACTAAATTTGTTTGGCAAACGAGAAAAAAATTCTGGTAAAATTACTATACGGTATGGTAATGGCATTTCTGTTAAAAATATATATATAATTCTGGTAATAAAACCCAAAATATATGATATTTAAACCATTTATTTGGTAATATTTCCATTCATATGGTAATACTTTACCAAAAATTCTGATTTACAAGACTATAGTTCGCATTACCACACATTAAGTAAGAAATATGAAACTGAAAAGTAAATTTAACCGAATTAATAGTTTTTATGCCGTGCTCTGAGGTATCATGAAAAATTACTGAATTTCGCCAAATTTACCAAATTTTATGATATAAATTAATAAGCATATCTTATGTTAATTTTATCAAAATCATTGCCAAAGCACTTCGGTAAAATTATCCAGCTTTTTAATGTTTCCATACAGCACAGTAAATTTAATCTTATCTGGCAGTTTTGACCTTACTTTGTTTCTCTGTAAAGAGAAAACAGAGAGGAGCTGAAAGTCAATTGCAAGAACACATCCAAAGGCAACCAAACCAGTTTTGATGTATTCTATTCCGTTTTCCACTCTACTGTTTGCAGTTTCCTATTAACCGTCAGTAAAATATATTAGTCTGCAATCCCTAATCTGTGTTTTGTTTGTTCTTCATTTTTGACAAAAATTTCAAAATATATATTAAGTAGGGTAATTGTGGAAAACCCTGAATATAGACTTACTAATTTCTTTTTCTTTCAATAAATTTTGAAACAATAATGGAAAATAAAGATTAAACAAATTAAACTTGCCATTTCCGGTAAATGATCTGGTTGTTGTGACGGAATAAATAAGTTTCTGAGTTACTGTGGTGACAACTCCATTGCCCTTACTAGAGAAAGGTCTGAAAACTAGTTTCTCGTTACAGCTAGAGGTCTGTAAGAAGCCATTGCCAATTACTTGTTCACACTCTTGATGTCCCTTCACCACAGGTAGTGACTTCGATTGCTATGGAATAAATTAAAACACATTATACATTTACTACATTTATACTCATTTTTAAAAAAAAAATTTAAGTAAGAATAAAAATTGAATATACATTTAGAATTTTACACAGATAGTTATTTAATTCTTAAAGTATATTGAAGATCTTTTTTATTATATTAAATATATTTTATGCAATTGAAATTTGATGATGTTATATGATACGTAAACAAGAGTGTTTAATTATTTTTTTGAGTGATAAGAATTTTAACTGACTGGTTTTAAAACGGATTTCTGCTGATCATAGTCAGTTGTTAATAATAGTGGCGAATTAAATCTTTTTTGGAACTGTTTCAAATCGTAGTTTGTTTAGAAAGTTAAATAAATTATTTTCGATTTTTTTTATTTACGAATGAAATATATGTTATAGAATTTTAAAATAATCATAAAGAGATATTTTTTACTTACTAAAATGTAAAGTTTTTTTACATTCCTAGAATTTTTTTCCTTGGTATATTTATTTGAAACAGATTGGTTTATCATATATCCCACTAAGAAATAATTTTATTTAAAACCAATATATAAATTTTACTTGCATTCACCAATAGTATAATACTTTTTTTTGCAATAATAAAACCTTATATTTCTAAAAATGCTTTGATAAACGCTCCTATGTAAAGTGAATTCTTTTATGCAAAATTTACCTTCACATAAGTATAATCTGTAATATTATCGTTTAATGCATACTAATTTGTTATTTTACTTATCTGGACCTTTTACTCTAAATTGACAACATTGAAGGGGGTCTTTAAGTTTTATGTTTTTAATGCTTGTAAAGTTTTAAATTTACTTATACTGCTGTACCATAAAAAATATATGCTGAAAATGCTCATTATTTTTATTACTTTATAAGAATATTATTTTAGAGCATTAGATTTTGAAGTATTAGATTATTAAAGTATTATAGTATTATTATAAATAGAGTATCATTGATTATTAGAGTATGACTTTTTGGGAATTTGAGGCTTTTAATTTTTGATATTACTGAAAATAATATGAGTTTTGATTTATTTTGAATAAAAATATATTTGCTTTAATTTTTCATTAGCAATTTTTAAATTAGTGTTTAAAAATATACCTAATACTGCAAAATTCATATTTTTTCTTCTCATTGATTTTTAAAAACTTATGAAATAAATTTAAAACGTGTTTTATAAGATCTCTGAAAAAATATCGCTTGAAAGACGGTAATAATGCATGAAAAATACATTATCATCAAGATCTCGAAGTTTTATTAAGGAATAAAAACAACATTTTTCTCCATATAGAAAGAGAATTAATCGCTTCAGTTTTAATGTTATAGAAAAGTTCATGAATTTCGAAATTTTTGCTTTCTGCACCATCTCTGTTCTTAGAAAAGGCTCAAGATTCGATTCAGTTCTAAAGTAATAAGCACTTGTTTAATTAAAGTTCTAATACAATATTTAAAGCAATAAATATTCGATTAATACATACAAAGTCTGTGGCATATGGAGTTCCTTGAAGATAAGTATCGACATTTTCTCTTTCTGTACACGAGGAAAGATCTTTTGTTTTGCGAACCGTGTGCATTCCTTGCCAACTCCTTCCCAAAGAATGATACTGCGCAGAACATTTTCCAAGAATGTCAGTCTGAAAAGAAAACAATTGGTTTCAGGGAATGAAAAAAAGTGGCAGTACTAAACTAGATAAAATAAGTTTTGGTCTAGTTTTGATGGCAAAAAATAATAAAATTGCATAAATGGTAGTATTAAATTAGATAAAATAATTGATTTTAATTAATAATCTAAATGGTATCATTCAATAGTGTAAAATAAATAGAAGTATTAAATGGTATAACATAAATGTCATGAAATTACTGCATAAAAATGTAAAAATCAAATGCCGTCTATTTTTCTGAAAGTTTGGCTATGTAATAATGATATGTTTTGATTTATTGAACTTACTTCATGTATAAGTGCGTTCCAATCTGGTTTAAGTATGTATGTTTGGAATGCAGACAAAACACCTTTTTGTATGTTGGTAATCCAAGCTGGTACGTTTTCTAGTGGACAGACGTGCTCAACTTGACCATTTTGGAAGGAGAACCTCAAAATGTGTTTTTCAAGAGACCGTCCGAATTCTCGAATCCCTCTTAAAGAAACTAAATAATCCGGGCTATCTGGATCAGATAGTTTAAGCTGTACACCTCTTAACTAAAAAGTAAATGAATAAAAATGCATTCGTAAGTAAGCGATTTTAAAGATGATTCTACAGATTATAAAAAACAATTAAATCATGTGAAAATATTTAAAATATTAAACAAATTCAATAATGATACTAATCACAGGAAAAGAGAAATATAACACTACCAGAAATTCAAGAATGTTTAAAGTGTAATGTCGTGTAAATTTACAGCAAATCTTAATATAGTTCCAAGTTATTACTAGTGTGAAATCTGAAATAATATTAAATAAATATTTATCGAAATTTATCATGATTTAAAGATTAGTTTGTTAAATTAATTAATATTTAATTAGTAATTATCAGTTTCACTCCTTTCAGTAGTTGTCTGAAAATGGCAAGTGCTTATTTATTTAATCGAGAAAAATCATTGTATTTTATTTTATTTCTTTTTATCTTTCTTTTAATTATCCCATTTTTAAACGCTTCATCCTTATTTAAAATAACATGATCTCTTTCTTAGAGATCAAGATCTCTCAGAGATTTAGAGCGCTTTTTAGGACAGTCAAATTTATTATTAAAGTGCTTTTGCAACTAAACTTTCTTCTTAATAAGAGAGAGAGAGAGAGTTAGAATTATTTTTTGTGGTCGTTCCCTTTTTATTTTCATTTTTAGCAGTTATCCCCGAAATATGTTTGATTGGGGATATGTCCCGAGAGTTTTCTAGAACCAGAAAGTCTGGCCAGAGAACCTGAAAGTTTTAGTAGTATGAATTTATCACTCGGCAGTGTAAAATATGTGTTTGATATTGTTCGAAAGCTATAACTAATTAGAAGGAAATTAGAATGACTTATTTTCCCCATATGTAAGCGGGGTCTGATATCGTATTCTAAGAAAATTCTTCTCAATTCATGTCTCCCCATCTGCCTACTTTAGTAGGCAGATGGTGAGAACTCATTGGAACTTTTAGTTATTTTTGCGTAATAATTTGGAGCATCCAAATAGATATTTTTTAATAATTTGAAACCTAGAATTTTTATTGCTTACATTATTACTTTTTACTGATATTACACAGTATTCGAATTCTAATATTCTAATTTATTTTATCGAGCTTTGATTATAAATTTCAAAAATACTATTCGAATTTTGCAAACAGTTTATCAATGTTGTAAATCAATTATATCATTCTTTAGAGCATAATTCTTATTGAAACCTATGACCAGTTCTTCATTCAAAATTTCACAGTTCGAATTGATTTCTTTCAATTTTTAGAACGACTTTCATTGGAGATTAACGTCAATATATGAAAAATCAAACTTAAACATTAAAAACGGAAATATTTTACATTTAATATTACATGAAATCAATTTAAATGTCGAAATAACGTGAAACCTTATTTTCAATGAGATCCTTAAAAGTCTTTGAACAAACTCAAACATAAATAGAACAAATTCAAACGTTTTTATTGTTTATAAGATAGACTTACATAGAATTAGCACTTTTGTTGCCCGTTTACTGTCTCTATTTTTGGAAACGCTATTTTTTTTCTAGTACGAAATTATTTAAAAATTTATTTCTTCTAAAATTGTGCTATTTTTTACAATAATGTAAATTAATATTTGAATTTCATCTGCGTTAATACGCATTTATGAAGCAAATAAACAAGGGATTTATTTTTTATTCTTATTCAAAGCATCAGTGCGCTTCAACTAAATTGTTATTTGCTTCTAGAACAGATTTGTTTTGATTATTAGTGCTCATAATTGTATTTATATTTATTGTATTTATGCTTACTAAAATTGTAATTTGTTCCACAATTGATTTATTTCATTTATTAGTGTTCGCTATTTGATTCCCATAGCTGTCAACTCTTCTGTTTTTATTTTCATATTTAAAGTGGTAGCGAAACTCATGTTATTCCATTAAATTTTTAAAATTATAATAATAATTAAAAAATTATAAATAATTACAGCATATATATAAAAGAATAATAGACTTTACGATAGAAAATTTAAACATCATCAAAATCTTAATATATTTTTGAGAAAAGCCCATTCTTGGAAAGAGAGAAAGTTGGTAGGTATAAATTCCCATTTATTGTATAAAAGAGTAAAATCCGTATTTATTCCAGATTAATAAATACCGTATTCATTTCATCCTGGCTGTTTTAAGCATGTAATTTAAGTTCTATTTATTGTACTTGAGTACTTATTATCTCAAGCAAAATTAATTTTCATTACTAGGGTTCATTAGTCAGACCCTATATATTTAACAAATAAACAGTTTCAATATATATTTAATAAGCAGGTTATCTGACTTATGTACTACAGGTTATTTGCTTATGTATGCAGTTTAACGAAATGTGTTTAATATTATCATAATGAAATTTTTACAAGTATATAGTTACATAACCTTAAGATGATTGATGAATCAATCGGTAATTATCGATTAAATTATCTTTTTTTTTCTCACGTCAGTCAGTAAGCACTCATGTTTAAACACAAGCATAGTTTCAGCCTTCAGCTAAGTTAATATTCTCACGGTTCACTGCTTTCAACTACTTAATTGAGAAGTTTCAAAGATCAGGGTAATCTTGCTTTTTTTAGAGATTGTCAGAGGTTAACAAACACTTTTTTTGTTTTTCTTAGATTAGTAAACAGATATTCGGTATCGATTGATTTGCTTTAGTATCGGCTATACAGAAAATTCCGAAGAATAGATATTTTAAGTTGTTTCGCAACTAGTACGACTGCTATCAGATAACTATCTCTTAGCAGATACGTAGAAAAAAGGTCAGCTGCATGTCAAAAAACTCACTGTTAACAAATTTAAAATCATAAAGCCATAATTGAACCCAAAATAAAATATATCAAAGGCGTTGAGAAAATGTGTTTTCTATTTTAACAGTTTTGATTTTTTTTCTGTTATTTTTCAATTTTTTTGCAATACAAAGTTTTGTAGAAATTATTTAAATGAATGGTTTGTAACTTTTAAAAAAATTATTTTCTCACTTAGTTAAAATACTTTTTACTACTCTATGAAAGCAATGTGTTCAAAACTACCAAAATAAGGTAAAATTTACGTGGTTTCTGGCTGTATGGTAACACCTTAAGATACGGTAATTTTTACCTAATCACTCAGGTAAGGACTCTTTGGTAAAATAAACAATGAGATATGGATTTTATTACTATGCTGTTTGGTAGTAAATATGATAAAGTTTGGTAATTTTAGCTAAAAGTCGGTAATTTTAAGAGCTCTAGTATTGTTTAAAATTACGAAAAAAAGTTCCGTTTGAGTCTCTATTTCATTTAGTAAACAATTATTAATTTTGTTTCATAACGGTAAATTATTTTTTCCCTATTATTTTTTGCATTTTACTATATACAGCTATAGTTAACATCCACGAACATTTAAAACTAAAAAAAAATTTACATTTGAAATGTACAAGGCGAAACTAAACCAGGATCTTAACTGTTACGCATCAGGGAATTCCCGCCATCCTAAAATAGAATCGCAGTGCCATCGGGTTCAAATCAGACGGTAACCCTGGATGCATCTATTTATTTATATTTATTTATTTATTGGGACGCTCACATACGCCTAATTGTTCCCTCATTACGAAGCCCGGTTTATATAACACGGTTTATATATCCGTGTCATATCGAAATGAAAGATAGAGAAAGACACAATAAGCATACTTCGAAACCGCTATCCCTAGATGCATCTTTGTATTGACTTTTTTTAATTTGAGCAATCTGATCTATCACTTAATAGGGGCTTATAATGTATTACTTTGTAATGAATACAAGCCTGCATAGGTATGTGTATGTATATGCATATATGCACCTGCATATGTATATGCAATAAATAAATAAATACATTTTTGTAATAGTAATGTTTTTCTTAACTATTCTTTCACAGCTGTCTCGTCTTTCTGCTTAACGCTATTAAAAATATAGGTAACGGGTTCGAAATCAAAGCGCAACCATGAATGTGTAACAGTAATTAAATAAGTTTGATATACAGGTTCGTGTGCTTAATGCAAAGAATGGCTTGCTTTTTGTCAAATTATTGAACACATAGCACAAAAATGAGAAACACAGTACAAAGATTTTGAATTCGCAACCTCTACGCTTTGGTGTGGTTAGCGGGAGGACAACATCTCACAAAAGTGGATGCCCCAATAACAAATGGTTGTTTTACTTACACATCGTCATCGCTAAGCAGTATTACTTTTCCATTAACCGCTCTGAAGCATTCGAATCCAGAGTTATAGCTGGATGTATATTCTGCTGTCTTCCGTAAAATTGAGCTTTCTGTTTTCAATTTGAAAAGAGTATTTAAGCCGTTCTTTGTATTTACAAAGAAACCAACATATGTATGCAAATAAATAAATAAATAAATCCCACTACATCTTAGAACATGGATAAAACAGCGACCTTAGTTTAGTATATCCGAGTTTATAATCCTTAAAAAACTTTAATTAAACACCAGAAGTAATCTTTCATTAAACTTTTCTCCTCTGCTTTCACTTCTTTGAAATTGATTTTTCTCGTCAGTTTACGTAAGATTTAAAATTAAGAGAAATTTCACAAGTTTTATGAGAGAGTACAGTCTTATCTAACAATCTCTATTTTTTAGAGTAAGTTTATTTGATGCCCTTAAGGAAAACTTCATATTGTACAAATGATCTTAAAAAAAGGCTGAAAATAATTCATGTAAATCTAACATTTCAAAATGCTGAATGCAATAATTAAAAGCTTTATTCAGGCTAAAAGCGAAAAAGAACAATTATTCAAATTTCAAATCGTACTTGATGTATTGTATGAGCATTTGTATTCATTTAAAAATTATATGTATTTTAGATGTTTTTGAAAGTTAAAGTAATTCTGATAATAAGCATTTTGTAATCAATTTCAATCTAGTATAGTATTAAAATAAATTTCAAGAAGTTTATTATTCATCCAGAATTATTTTAATAATAATTCTTTTTTAATTGAAGGCTATAGCAATTATTTCATAATTTTATATAATTCTAAATGATAAACTTCAGTGTTTGGATTGAATTAGTCAAATAGTTCTCCATAAACTTAAATTTGAATGAAAATGAACTTATCGAAGTTTTGTTATTTAAAAAAATTATTTGACCATTTTCATAGTTTGAGTGCGATGTCGAAAATACGAAAACATATTGTTCAAATGCGGGTGCTGATTAAACTGTCCTTGATATATTTTAAAGGATATATCAGATTAACGTAGCGTTTTTTCCTACAATTTTATACAATTGTTTGAATTTTTCTGCCTTATTTTCAATTCTACTCCAGACAATACCCGAAAAAAATTATTTTTATTAGTTCATCACGGAAACAGATTCGTAATGAAAGATTCATATTTTTGAAAAAAAGAGTTGAGTTAGGCTTAATTTGGCAAAAAAACTTCCGTTCCAACACAGAATTCGTTAAGCTCAACATCAACTGAACCTTAACAGCATAAGGAACAGCATTTAGTGTTAATGGTATTTTAGATGTTTTTTTAAACCATATGTTAACCCTTCAAATCTGAAACTCGCATTGGATAACAGAGATAGTAGAATTTCTACAATATTTTCTTTTTGTTCCTTCATTTAATTTCAAAACGGGAGATAAAGAAAGGAATTTTGATTGAAACACACAGTATGATAACATTTTTTAATGAAATTTGTAGTCCCACACAAATAAAATTTGTCAAATAGCACATGGAACTTAATTATATATCATATGTTTAGTGTCACTTAGTTGAGTAATTCTTCCTACAAAGAGCTCTTTGTTTTTTTTTTGTCAATTCTTATTTATTTCACTATGCTTCATTTCATTTCTTTAATTTTTTTTGTTTATTTTTTTTTCTCTCTCTCTCTTTTTTATATTAGAATAGACAGCTTTGCTTTCTTTTGTTCACGATGATACCCTATTTGCTCTATATTAACTTGTTATGGAGAAGCATTAAGCCGGAAAAATATTAGACTGGGGTCTTCAAAATTCTAGCCAAGGGTTAAACCTAATTCGCCTACATCTCAAATCTGGTTTTAAGTTGCGGATCACTCATTGCTTATTTTAATCCTGTTTAAAAAGTTTTTAATGCTAATATTCGTTAAAAGTTTTTAACACTAATGTTTAAAAAGTTTTTAACGCTAACGATCCCTCTATTAGTTTTATTAAAAAATCAACTCATTATCTGATACACATATTTCTATTTTTGATTACCTCTATGGAATTTCTACTTTGAAAAATTTCCCGCCCAGAGACTTTTTCTAGCACCTCGCATTACAAATAACTTATTTGCTGGATCCTTCCAAAGCAAAAATTTGTGTAAATTAGTGAGAAAATTATTAAAAATACTCAAATATCGATTATCTTCTAAATTTCTTAGAAGGAAGACAAAAGTTTCAACGTACATTGAAAATGGTTGCGAGTTTGAAAACCGCAAGAACTGTGCAATTTTTGATACCTTTCTAAACCTGAGAGAGGACCCTTAAATTGTGCTTTTTCTCTTACTTGGTATTTTTTTATTGAACATGATGGAGAAGGCACTGTGGCTCTTAGGGCGACAAGTTACAAATTCCTGGCAAAAAATATATTCATTTTTCGAAGAATTTAATTATATTTTCCTTAAGAAAACGCGCTTTACACTAACATTTTTAATTTATTAAAATCACCATTCACGGGATTAAATTTCCTGCAGGAAAATTAAGTACTTTTTTTAACTAAATCATATATGATTAACTATGATTAATCTATGATTAACTATGATTAAATGATTAATCTAAATGATTAACTGTAAAATTTTTAGGCACTGGAATAAAAGCCTTCATTTACCCTTAGAGAGAGTTCGCATTTTGATAAAACTTCTATGTCTGCATGAGCTGTGAGCTGAAGTTGTGTTTTATCTTGAGTAGCTCCTTGGACGGTGGTTACTGCTGTCGTTTCATAATCATATGTATAAGTACTACCTGGCGTTAATTGAAAGTCGCTTTCGTCTGAAAAAACAAGGTAAGACACATATTCAATCTGAAAACCAGTTTTAATGCATGAAATAATTTATAAACTTAAATTTAATTAGACTCTGAGATTTTAAGGCATAGTTTCCTTCACAGATAAAAATTTTATAAATTGAACAATGCTCGTCAAAAATGTTTAAAGAAATTAGGATTATTGTAAACGTAAATAAATTTCTTGGGTTGGCAAATAACTAAAATGAATTTACGGGTATACAAATTATTTGAACCAAAGCTTAAAAAGTCAAAATTCTTCAATTTGCATAGTATTCTTATGTTTTCAGAGTACATTTTGATTCTAATTTTTGGCGCATATATTTTTCGATTAACAAAAGAACAGAACTAAAAGAACATTTTGATTTTTCCATGCATTACTACAGATATTAAAACAATCCTTTGAATACAATAATTCGATTACTATTTATTTTAGTATAATATGTTTTGTTTTACATAATACATCCTTTTTTTAAAAACTCAAGCATTAAATTTCCCAAACTATTTCATATTTTAATATTTCAGTATTTGTTATTTATAACTTTTTTGAAATTACTTCAAGAAACACTGAAGGAAACGCCATACAAATCAAATAAAAATATTAATGAAAATGATTTTTCCTTTTATCGTCAATGATATTAATTGAAAAAATATTCAAATTTGTAAAAATAATTATCAAATATTGATGAGATATTTTAAATTGAGTTAAATTTTTCCGTAGTCTTGGAATATATATAAAAAATTCATATAAAAAGATATAAATGTGGATTAAGCAAACGAAGAAAAAAAGAAAAGTTATAACAAAAGTGCCTGGAAATAACCATACCGATAGATCAGCCTAGCTAGTTTGTCATTTTCTTCAACCACGCTGTAAAAAATTCCAGATCAAATTACGGTAAAAAGTATTTGCACTCAAGGTAGTAATTTTAACAATAAAATCCATTTTTATTGTAAAATTTTACAAAACAAGAAATCTGCTATGCCTGAAATTTAACAGTAATATTTACTGTTAAATCATTGAATCACTGTAATCAAATAAATATTGCTGTAAAATTACGGAGTATTAAATTCTACGATAAAATGGATTTTAAAGAGGCTACTTTCAGAGTAACAGTGCATTTCCTACCGCAATTTTTCTGGAATATTTTACAGTGTAGCTAGCATTTTTTAAGTTTTTCATGAAATCAATTTAATGATTTTCACGTTCTTTCTATCAAAATTAAGCACAATTGCTACTATTCCCTACTAATAAGCTGTATTTCTTTAGTTCTCCCTTTTTAAAATGTTAATAATTTTAAATGTTGATAATTTAATAGTAATAGAGCATAAACAACGCTTAAAAGTTAAGTTTGTCGGGATTATAGAAATAATCATACATATAAAAAAATACTTAATCTTTACAGTGGCCAAAAATATTAATATGCTTTAAATTGTCAAACGGTGTAAACTAATAAAAACATAAATAAGAATATTTAGTAATTCTTACCTGAACAGTACCTTGCACACTGACTTTTTTGAGAAACAGGAACTAGGGAAAAAATGCAACATGTATAAAATTCATAAAAAAATTTATATGATATAGAGTTGCTAATCTAGATTGCTAATCTTGCTAATTAAATAGATTGCTAATCTTGCACAACAGTATTTTTTAAAGCTTATATATAAAGCTCATACATTCATCACTTTTTCTTTAAAATTTATGGTTATATTTTTTAAGAAGATTTATGAAACAACTAATCAAAATTTCGTACAATATTAGTCATGAAAAGCAGATATATTCTACAGATATCTAGATTTCTTAAACTATTTTATGTCGCTTTCAATACTGAATTATGAACTTAGAAAAGGAAACAAAAAATTTAACTGAAGCTAACAAATTAAGTCTCTTTTGTAAACTAATGGTGAGCTATGATATTTTGCCGTATATAAAGCTTAGACACGACAATAAAACTTGCATGTAATTTAATTCCCATATTTCTTCAAAAAGATTTGAAGACCAATCTGCATTTAACTTAAAATTTGATGTTAAAAAGAAACATTAAAAAACTATATTCTAACAATGATTACTAATTAATGATTGAAATTTATGATAATTTAAAAATTGAAATTTACATTATTCTGCTTATATTTTTACATTTTAAACTTTCCACACAGCCCATACCAAAAATATGATACATTAAAATTTTCAGAATTTAGAGCATGTTTGAATACTCTAAATTAAAGTTTCTTTGCAAATATTAATAACTTTAATAATATTTGGGTTAGAAATGCATAGTGGAACAGAATGTTAGAATTTTTTTTAAATTGTATAATATAACAAAAAATATTCTAAATGAGCTGAATTCATAGCTTAATATATGCTCATTATTTTAATAACTATAGACTTATAATAATCGCAAAAGCCTTAATTGAGAAAATTTTATTAATAAAGAAAACATAGCCTGATTTTAGCAGCAAAAAAAAAACAGCGAAAAAAATTACTGTAAATACATAACGGAGTTATAAAAATACGTATTAAATTTTTGCTAAATATTTTTAAAAAAATCACTTAATTTTAAAAACTCTTGCAGAGGAACTAAATTCGTTTTTTTCTGGATTTTTAAGATAGTACCACAGATATACTGCCAAAACTGACTATGGTCAAATACGTAAATGCAACTCGAATAAATTTTAGATTAATCAAAATACACTTTAAGCAGTTAAAAATACAATAATATTGAAATGAAAAGTATCTTTCTTTATGCTACTCTCTAAGAAATCAATATTTTTTTAAGAATCCCTTTAATCGTAAGAACACTGCGGTTTAACTTTATTTTGCATGTTAATTCACGTTACATGTTGTTTTGCAGCAACAAAATCTATTTGGCAAAGAAGCAAAAAACTACAAGATAGCGTAAAAATATGTACCTGAATAGAAAGTACGATGAAATTAAAAAAAAATTACAATAGATAATTAATTGGAGAAAAATTAGCTGTTAAACTTGTAGTAAAAAACACCATTCAAACAGCTGTACAAAAGGCAGAAATGCAAAGAAAACAGTATTACGTTAGGAAATGATCATATTTATTTATAAAATTAATAAGCGTTTTTTTTCCTTCTTCAAAATTCTAATTTTGCAATTTTAAGTGGGATTTTATTTCATGAGTTTTTCTTCCTTTCCTTTTTTCAGTGGTATTTTGTTTTTTGTGTAAAAACTATGATACCTCAAATTGGAAATTATGCATGGGGTATAAAAATTTACCAGTTTACCATTAATTATTACCATCAATTAAATGGGAGGGAATTAGAAAAAATAACATTCGATTAGTAGTTCAAGAATTATTTACTGTTAAATTTGTGGAATAAAATACCATGAGACCGATCTGCTGTCCACTGCAGTGCAAATACGCAGATCAAATTCGAAGAAAGAGCCATTTTTTTGTTCACTTAACAAGAGTTTTTTTTCTTCTCAAAATTCCATTTTGTTTGAAAATTATTGGAATTTAATGTACTTTTTCTCAATTTGGTTTAGTTTTTTTTTCCTAAAATGGTGATTATTTTTCCCTTTCTGTAGAAAATTTTTTCTTCTCCCTCGAGTTCTTTATTTTATAAGCTCGCTCTTAAGTTGAATTTAAATGTAAGAAAAGAAAAAGACAGGAAGAAAGAGATTAGATGACACTAGATCTGATTTTAAACATTCATATTGATATTCTTAAATACAAAAAATCTCAATCCAGGAAATCATTCATTACTTTGCAATTAATGGCAATATGTTCTTATTTAAAACTATAGTTATTGTGTTTTTTTGTTAGAAATGACTTCTAAGAAATAAAACAGATGGCAAAGGAAAAATAATAATGAGAGTTTGTGAACGAAGTGAGAAGGGATGGAGTCACTTAGTTTTATCAAAAAATTAAAATTTTCTTGCACTTATGTAAAATATAATTTTAATCTTTCAAGATTATATAAATGCATGGTCCCACAATCAGTGTTAACATTTTAAAAGTCTCCTCACACTTAAGAAATCAATGTAAAGGTACATATATTTGCGAAATTTGTAATTTTTATTTTTTAAGGGAAAGTTAATAAAACGAAATTTATGATTTAACAATTAAGAAACTACGTATTTTAGATTTAAAACGTGTGTATAATCCAAAATGAGAGAATTTAAAGTAAATGAGAATTTAATTTGCTATTTATTAATACTATTAACTTACTATTTATTATTATCTGACAAAGAATGTGGGATCTACCGATACATACTATATATTGTCTGAAATTTACGGAGAATATTCAGTTATATTCACCTTTGCCATGTTCTGAGGAAAAAATGCACAGTTAAGATTTTCATTCTTAAACTATGGTGTAATAACCTTAACGGGTTTAAAACCGTTTACAACTAGGTTGGTCAAAAAACCATGAATACAAAACTATAAGTTTTTTTTAACGATTTACAAATAACATGGTTTTGAAACCCTAAATGCGAAATTTTCACCGATTTAGGGCTTATCTTTCTCTTAGGTAATAGACATTGGAGTTAGGTTGTGGCTTATCAAGGGGAAATATTGTGATGTCAACGCGGAGACTCGAACTCTTGCTCTGTCGATAATGAGATTGGCAGAATAGCCCTCTCGGCTATGACATTTAACCAGCTGCAAGGAACTAAATGGCTTCGTTAGGTGAGCTCAGTTGCTGCGATAAAACTCTGGTGGTTTAATATTAGGTGAAAGCACTTAATCAACGGTTTATTCTCATAGTTAACAGTTTGAATACCATCTTATTTACGGTTATTTGAAAGTTTTTTTTGTTCTGTTTTGTTTTTGCTTTTGTTAGTGAAATAACAATTAAATAAATTGTTATTTAACCAGAAATTTCTGACAGAGTGATATTGCGAAGGGAAAGTTTTTTGAAATTGAAGCTCTCCAGAAAAAGCTAGTTGACCACTAACTGTTTTGATAACAATACTCATTAAAACCATACATGAAAATGACATCAATGCTCAAGATTAATTTTATCTTGAACATTTTGCCCATTTTGTAATTTCAAGTCTCGCTGACTTGGAATAATAATTACTTAAATACATGAACATTGAGTCAAAAAAAGAGAAAAACGGAATGATTTCTGTAGGAAGGATAATCGAAATGATAATCGGAGTTTCACGTAATATCATGCAATCATATTCGTTCAATGGGCAGATCCCAAAAACAATTAGATCTTAGTACAGAATAATATTTTAAGTTATGAAATCTGTCACTAAATTTTACCCTGCTCTAAATAAACATAAATGTTTTCGATGCATTCCAATTTTCAAAATGGAAAATTCAATTTTTCCTCTGAATTTTCCAGGAAATAACCTAATTTTGATACAACTGAAAATTTATGGTGAAAGGAAATTTTTAAAGTGAAAATAAGAATGAAATAAAAATGTGTACGTAACACTTCAGAATTACGTCAAACTGTCTCAGGGTCTACTTTAACTTATTGTTACTAATTGCTGCACTGCAAGAAATTTCCCTAAAAAATGATTAGATATTGCTTTATTTAATTGTTATTCTGTCATGTTCAGCTAAAACGGACAAACAACCATAAAAAGATGGCATGCACCGTTAAATGTGAGAAAATCTTCTCTTGACTATTTTCCTCCAATCCAACTAAATCTTTATGTGCGACAATTAGACTCATAGCCAGTGAGAATCGAAAGCTCGTTCTTGGAAAGGAAAGATCTAAGGATAAGGATTACGAATTCATATTTTTTTCGATCCTCTTATGCCTAATGCAAGAGCGGAGACCTAATAATTTTATACACAGCTTATACACTAAGGAAACCATTTAGTTTCTTACGGATGGGAACATGCTTTCGCCGTGAGAACTAATCTGCCAATCTCGTAACCGGCTGAACGGAATTTCGTATCCCAGCGTTGACACACAAAATATTTTCTCCATTCTTTTTACACATGAGGATTTTCCAATGTTCTGTACTCCTTAATTGGTGACCCGGAACAATTGGAATGCGAAATTCTCATTCACGCATTGATAACAGTCCTACAGAGCTGTCTAGTACAAAAAAGTCTAATATTCCTCTGCTCTCACGATACATGGCATTACTAAATAAATCCTATTCTATGGTTCACCTGACAGAACTGAGCCATAAACGAAATCTAAAGTAAATTACTTATCAAAATGGCTTACATAACCCAACTCTGAAGTAGATCCAATGTCCAGTTAAATTTTATTTCGTGGTTTTGAAACTATACTAGCTGTAAATGGTTACAAAGTCGTATAGTTTTGTATTCATGATTTTTTAACCATACCAGTTGTAAATGGTTTTAAACTCGTAAAGGTAAAAAAATTTTCATAGCCGTAAACTTTACGATTAATTGGATTAACAGACTGTCGCAGATTCTTTTACCACAGTTCAAAAAATATTTTAACCGTGTGATTTCATTTATGCATTTAAGGACATACAGTAAATTAAAGAACTGCTATTTTGCAAAATAAAAAAAAAAAATAAAAAAAAAATTTTAAAAAAAAATTAAAAACTTTTTATCACTTTTTCACAATCAATTTGCATAATATAGTCAGAATTAAAATATTTGAGTAATGCCTTTATTTCCATATTTTAAGTATAAAAAATCGGTTTCGAGTATTAAAGAGAAAAAAAAAAGATTTACGTTTACGTGCCTGATTTTTTAAAATAAAATATCGTTTGAACTAACTAGGTAACAATACAACAACTATAATACTGAGGCCTAGTCCTTGAACCATTAAAAGTTTGATCTTAGTGTATAACCTGATAAAATCAAAATTTATTCTGGGTGTTTTCTTTTAATTTTGCACATTATTCATGTTATGTTTTAAATTAAATAAAAAAACTCCAAACATTTCATACGTAGTTATAAACACAAGAATTAATTGAAGCCATTACGTGGCGGTTTATGTGGTTTCGTTTGAGAATTTTTTTCATTGATTGAAGAGGAGATTTTTAAATTATATAATTTTATTTTTAAATTTAGGCAAGAGTATTAAACATTTTATTCATTAATGTAGTTATTCCATACGCACACACTCTTAATTTTTTATATACATTTTTGAATTATTTTTCTAATGATATTGCTTTATGCTTTTATGTTAGACAAAATGGCTTATCAACTCTGAGCCAAATAACCAAATAATGTGATTTCATTTTATTTCCTGATTTGAAAAATTTACTTTGAATATATTTATTTTTAAATATTTTTTTACTTCTTGTAATTACGATAATAATGTAAACGAACAAAATGCATGGCGTGATTTCAACTTACTGTGTATTAAAATATACATGAAACTATGAGCTTACTGTATGCTTAAATTCTAATCTTATAATAAACTGAGATGTCAAAAAATTTAGCTGAACCAAACTTAAAAAGCTTGTTTTAGTTAAGACTTTATGTGTAAATCAAAGTAGTTTCAAAACTGGAGATGGAGTTTATATTTCCTATTAAATATAGCTTTGCAAAATAAAAGATTATACCATTACCATTACAAAATAAAAGATTATACCATTACCATAACAAAATAAAAGATTATACCATTACCATTGCAAAATAAAAGATTTTACCATTACCATTGCGAAATAAAAGATTATCACGAAGACAAATTCAATTATTTATGAAATATTTACAAAATAATAAAAATACTGCTTAATAATCTTATTACATAAGAAAAAAAGCAATAGTCATGTCTTAGAGTAGTGAGTATTTCTTCTAAACTAAAAAAGGCTAATAGCAAATTTCCTTTAATTTATTTTTTTTTATTTAAAAGAAAATTCAATTCCCCTTTATTTGTATAATTTATTTAATTATATCAGTTAGTACATTGTGCTAAAAATGAATTTTAAAAGCAAATATAGGATATAGTATTAATCTTGAAAAAAATAATGGTAAATTATGCGTAACAGGTTGTATTAGTTAGCCATAATTGAAGTATTATAAAGCACATTACACTCTTTTTCAAGAAATCTTTTGCATAGCAACAGCAATAAAGATAATAAAAATTGAAGCTTAATTATCTTAATAAATTATTTTAGAGAACTATTCAATTTTTTAATAATGTGATCAATTATTTATACTTATTTTAATTAAATTTAGATAATTTAAAATTTTAATTTTTGCAGAAAAAGTGTTTCTACAGGCAAGATCAAGACTTTATATACTTTTTATTCATCTGAGTAAAGGCAAGAAAAAAATATTAACTCAAAGCAATGTGATGCATTTAAACTTGTGTGCTCATACTCGATTATTTTAGAAAATTCTAGACATTATAATTTATTAAATAAGTGCATGAACTTTATTTGTGAAAAATGGTTTCTAAATAAATTTAGGTGATGAAAAAATGTAAATCTTTTCTTTTCTGACAAGTAAACATAACTGACGAGTAAACATAACCAAAGTTGTAACCAAAAATTTCGAAATGCAAAATAATATATGAGTACTATAATGAATGACAAAAATTTTCAGAAGTTAGAATTATAATGAAGATTTGACTTACATAACAATAAAAACTAACACTGAAATTTAAAGAAGTCGTTAAAACTAATTAAATATTAAAATTTAATATTTGAGAACTGTTGATCGCATAACTGTAACAGTTAACCATTTTTATAATACCCGAATAATTTTTACTCAGAGCAACTAAAATATTATTAAATTTTGATTTCAAAATCAGCTTGATGTCTTAAACCACTTTCAAAATTCAATAATATTCAGTAAGAAATGTTTTATTAAGTACAATCGAAACATAATAATGTAAATTTGAAACTTACAAATCACTTAGGAGAAGACAAACTTGTATTGAAATAGTACTATTGAACAATTTCTCAATATTTATCTAAAGAAATTTTAATTAACTTAAAGATATTTAATAAACTTCAGAAAATCAGCTTTATAATTGATAAAATTATTAAGAAACTGTTTAATAATGTTAAGAAACATTTTGTAAACTAAAAAACTCCTTATTAAAAGCCTTCGGAAAATATGTATAATTGATAAAATTATTAAGAAACTGTTTAAAAAACATTTTGTAAACTAAAAAACAAAAAGCCTTCGGAAAATATATATATATGATAAAATTATTGAGAAACTGCTTAAAAAACATTTTGTAAACTAAAAAACTCCTTATTAGAAGCCTTCGGAAAATATTGTAACATTTTGTATTTCTTTTACGGCTTAAAGCGTCAGGCTTAAACGTTCAGATTTTATGTCTTAAAGTTTTTCTTTAAAAAACTAGTATCATTTAACATGTTATTTTATTAATTTCTTTAACTTTTTAGTATAAATAAATACATCTAAAACATGCAGATAATTATCCTACCTGCAACTGTACTGGCGACGAAGCCGCATAAAAGCAAAAGCTTTCGGAGGGATGCCATAGAAGAAATAGGTAATAATTCACTTCAACTGCATGCCTCAGAAAAATCGCTGTTGTTCCACTTGTAATGGCAGCGAAAGATAGAATACTTGTCCGTCTGCGTAACTAGATGTGATTTTATGGGTGAAATTCTGAGATCAAGAGTCCACTCATAGATTCGGACTGTATTTTCGCAATATTTGACCTCCGATAGATGTAGATCTGCCTTCATCAGCAAATTGATAAGATTAACTCTCCCCCAATATCCGCAAATCTTTCATCCTGTGAAAAAAGGTCTCCGAGGACTTTATGAACGAAATGTTTTTAAAGTAACAGGACATAACTATGAATTTTTTTACGAGTTACATTGGAGGCCATGTTTGTTTAGTTTTAAGATGTCAAGTTTATTGTTTATTTGTTTGTTTGTTTTAAAGTTAGTTTGATAAAGAACCAGCAATTTTCTGCAGAGTTTAATCGGGAACATTCCTTTTGTGAAGTTTGATCAGATTTTGTTTTAAGTTCAATAAAAACTTTGATACTGATATTAACATACATAATACTTTTGAATCAAAAGAAATTTTCGTACAATAATATTATATTTTCTATGTATCAAATTACGAATTTTATATTAACACAAACTGAATGAAATCTTTTCGAATACGTATTGAAATACATAAAATCTTCTGAGTTCATAATAGAAACGCAGTGTTTAGTCAGTTATATTCAAAAAATACGCATTTCACTTTTTCGTAAAGCTAATCTTTTCATACATTTAAAACCGATGTTGCCGTTACCCTCTTTGAGAGATTTCAACGAGAAAGCAGATTTTTTATTATTTTTCCACTTTTTATTATTTTTTTAATGTTATAAAACATTTTATTTGAAAACCAAAAAAAATGCTTTTAAAACATTGCAAACAAACATTTTTTTTAAAAGAAAAACTGTATTTAAAACATTTTATCGCCTTAGAGACCTTTTTTTCATATGCTTTTGCTTATATATATATATAATATTTTTTTTTATACTTGCGTTAAAAGAAATATTAGCTTAAATGATAATTAAACACTGAATAAGACAATTACCATATTTTTAAAAAAAAAGAACATTTCCCATTGCGCATAACAAAGCGTAACTGTTTAAATTACCTAAAAAAAAACATGTGCCACATTAATTCCAAACTTCCCAAGAAAATCTATCTAAATTTGAATTTCAGATGTAAAAATTATTTTTCTTGTGCTTAAATTTTATAGACAGAACTGACTTTAATCAAGTGTTTGAATTTTCAAAAACTACATTTTTTATTTATTTATTTTGGAAATATAATAAAGAAATTCCAATTTATATTGTCATGATAATTTTTTTTAATAAATTGCACACTAGCTAGCAGTACAGTGCACAAAATAAAGATATTTTTAATAACTTTTGTTTTAATGATCGAGTTCCTATGAACTAACTCCTAATCCTAATGGTTCAAAAATACTACTTCAAATATACTAATTAATGCGTGCTAACAGTTAATTAAGTTATAGAATCAAATTAACTGTACATATTTTCACCAAATCAGCACACGGGTGTGACAGTTTTAAAATCTTGGTCTTTAAATATGGTGGGCAACCACAATCTGAAAAATATGGTCTAAATAGTTTTGTCAGTTGAGCAGCCAAAAGTTTGGGTACCTTAATGTTAATTTTACTTCTTTCATATTTTGTCATATCTCATGAAGTCTTAAGTGAAACAAAACATTTTCGCACACAATTTTAAAACTAGCTCATCCACTTTTGTGCAATTTTTAATTGCGTAATTTTAATACAAAATTGGAGAAAAATTAGTCAAACTGTTTCTGATTTATTAGGTTTCAAAAATTGCATTCTTTAGCCTTCATTTTGCCAGAACTTGATTTCATTCAAATTTTGTATTTTGCCATTTAAAATTACACTATTTTAATCGGAAGTATAAATTTTTATGCATAACAGTTCGCAATTTTTTTGGCACTTATAGTACCTAATCTACTTCTGTAGTGAATTGCACTTGGTTAAATTAATTTTGAAATTAGGGTAAATAGTAACATCGGAAATTTTATATGCAAGCAAATGCAATGCTTTTACTTACGCTTAACCCAATTTAACATTTTGATATTAATTGTTTTTTATTTATTTTAATGCAATTATCAAGGTCCACTATTCTGCATATAAAAAGCCCTTAACATACCTTAGAAATATGTTTTTAATAAAAAAAGATTCAATTACATTTGTTTACCATTAGCAAGAATCGAAAGATGTTAAACTTTTAATTAAACACATACATCAGTTTTAAAATATGCTCTCATTTTTCACATACAGTATTATAATATTACGTATATCAATGTATTCCTTAAAATTTGTAATAATATTGTCTATAATAACAATAATTGGGAAAAGAAAATTAGAACTAAAATCTTGTGAATTCAGAAGGACAGTTTGTGTTGAGATAAGGATTTTAAATAAACAACTCAAAACTTTCTGCTAATTTTTGATGATTCAGTCTGAAAGTCATATCATTACTTTAATAAGTAACTGCAAATAAGGAAAAATTAAAATAATAAACTAAAAAAAGTATAATAACTTTAGCACGGTATATCAAATACACATATCAAAATCGATATTGTATGAAGTTAACTTTTACTTGAAGTAAAAGAAATAATTAACAAAATTAATTAATAGTTGATGATACTTAAAAATGAAATACTAATAAATGAAAACTTATTGTTTCAAACTACTGTTCAGTTAAACTCAAAAGTCATGTTTACAATTTATATCTGAAAACAGAAAAAGGTCAAAATTCAAATGGATAAGATTAAGAGTTTGTTTACTCTTTTAAATTGTAATGAAAGTGTTTACACTGTGAAAAGTCTTTGTTCTGTCTTATTTACTTCTGTTACTAACAACAATGATTACTTTTTATTGAAATAAATAACAAATTTGCGCAGCATTAAAAAATGCTTTAATATAAGGTTTCAATACATTCATAGTATAAATGAGTATGCTTATTAATATACATAGCAACATTCAAAATTTTTGGAAATGAACACAACGGAATAAACTGGTTGTATTATTTAACTGGTAGTATGGGTAATATTATTATTAACAATCAATAATAAGATATACATATAGAGTTTCTTTTGTGAAAGATTAAATCATATAATTAATATATTAAGCATTAATTTTTTTAATGGTAAAAAATATCTGATGAGACAAAAAAATGTATCATGAAAATTATTCTCGCATAGGTAGGGGAGAGGGGGGCACATGTGAACAAATTTTTTTATTTCTTCATTTTTCAAAAAATATCATCAATTTTTCATAGTAAAGAAGTCCATATGTTTAAATAGTCTTTTCTTTGTCTTATGGAATTTTTTGAGATTTTTCAATAAAATATTTCTTTACTTTATAATATTTTAGAAAAATGACTTCAATTGTTCACATGTGCCCCTATTGGGGGCACATGTGAACAGGCCTGGGGCACATATGAACAAGATTAAAAACACAAAGCAATCATCATATTTCAAAGAAAAAAAATCTTTAATATAACAGATATAGATACGCATTATACTGAAGGGGTTGTAGCTTACTATGTGAATTTAAATTCTACAACAGTACTGTCAATAAGAAAATAATTTTTCAGCTGTACAATAATTTGTCCGTTGTTGGGTTTTTCTCAAGTTCATGTTCCACGGGAGTTGTAATGGGCCTTTTTCTTTCTTCTCTAATACTTTTTCATGCCTTTTTTCATTTTTTCTATCTTTCCTTTTGTAGTTTTAGCAATTCTGTCTTTCTCAGGTGTATCAGTTAATATGTGCAATGCGCAATCAACCATTTAATAAAAAAAAATTATTTTTAAGGAAAAAATAATAAATTAATTATAGAAAATTAAAAAGTAATAATTTTAAATGCATACATATTTTTTAAACTTATAATATCATGAGGATAATAATCTTAATACTATGTAGGGGCACATGTGAACTGTTCACATCTGCCCCAGATGTTTTGTTCACAAGTGCCCCACCATCCTTCTTAAACCTAACTTGAAAAATAAAGAAATTTTAATTGAGTAAAAATAAAAGAATAATTGTCATAAACTTACCTGAATGTTCATATAATGGTCTGCAATAGTTAATTTTAGTTTATTAGTTGATTTATACTATGCTTTAACTTGAAGAAGCGAGTGATTATAATATGTACAACACCAGCTGATACGAAGAAATTGTCAGAATAGAACAACGAATGTCTCATTGTTCTGAAAGTTTTGCAGAGAGGTAGGACTAGTTCTGCTACCAATCGAAATCATATTGGTAAAACATACCATGTTCACATGTGCCCCCTGTTCACATGTGCCCCCCTCTCCCCTATGCATTTAAAAAAAGCAATCATAATCTCTTTTTTTTTAAAAAAAAGGTGCGTGATGAAAAAGTATTTGGAATGTTAATATAAAGCTAAAACAATCAATTTACTTCGATAAAATTTATTTGATCACACTCTAAATACTCTCCTCCTACTTTTTTACTGCATCTGCTAATGTTTTATCAATCGCTAAAGCAAGCCGAAATATAGTTTTTGCGAACGCTATTCAAAGTTCGTAGCAAATTTTCATTAACGGCTTATAATGAACTCAAGTAAATGGACTAACTACGAAGGGAGAATTTCAAATATGACAGTTGTTGAAAAAAGTAACTTTGTGCCTCATTAAGAGAATACAGTGCTTGGGGGGGCGTATTTGTTAAATGTTTTGACAAAAACTACCTAATAATAAATGCAGTGTGAAATGGCTCGTTATCTTGGTGTTAGTTTTCTAGCCTTCAGTCCTTTTACGACGAATCTGAACACGCAAATGCTACAAAATCATTAATTAATAGTCTAGATTAACTGCCTGGACAATCTGTAAAGTAATAATAATGATACACAACTTCGTTTTCAAACGCAGCATCGAGGCAACCCAAGAAAATAGTAAGCATTATCTTAAATTTTGTGAGATAACTTTGACGTAGTTTCTTTAATCTTGCAACAAAATTACTTCACTGGTAGCGCAAATAAGTAAGGGGGGGGGCAAGAGTATAGTGCGCCAAAAAAAAAAAAAATAAACGAGACCACCCTGAGTAACTTTCCATTTTATGATCGGATCTTCACGTTCTAGGACTGAATTCTAATGGT